AGAGACACGAAATTTATCTTCGAGCGTTGAAAAACATTTCACGAGTGAGCCCTCCTTTCGAACTGTTTTATGATATTTTTTTCTTTGTTGAGTGTTACGTAGTAAAATTGCTTTCATGCGTTGCGTGACTTTCTCGAACGTTCTCTACGTTTTTGGATTACCATGAATAATTAATTAGGGCATGTTTACATTTCAGCATGACTCAGCAGATTTGCATCAGTTACTGAAATCATAAAATATGTCGAAAAGCTACTACTATTCGCCTGCTGTTTAGTATTTTCTAGAACCTTATGTCAAACAGTATACAAGTTCCAAGCGAGTTCTTTTGAAGAACTAAGTTTTTTCCACGAGCTGGACTGCTGTGTTTAGTCAAGTGTGACGAAGGTCGATTTTCAGGTATTGTGTTTACAAGTTCGCGGAAGCCGTAAGATATCTGAAGTTCAAGTGAGAGTTTGTTATTATTGGTAGAGGCTGTTTAGTTTTACTCAAAGTTCAAGTCAAGTTTGTCTTGGTGAATGCTGTGTTTTAAAGCTCTGTAAAGGCTATGTTCCTTTGATGTTAAACTTCCTTGTGTTAATCCGACATCCCTGCGTGCTGATAGTCAGTGAATAATTATTCTCAAAACATTCGAACTCGTGACTTTGAGTTTTAGCCAATTCCATGCTCTACGTAATTGACTCCTTACCCATGCCTTACATATCTTTAATCAGTACATGAGACTGCTTTGCTGTTTTTGAAGCCCGATGTGACTAAGAAAAATAGAGAATTGTTTTTTTAGAAGGATTTGAATGGAGTCATCAGAGCATAACTGGGCTAATATCTCGGAGAAAATTTGTCCCGAAATGCTAGTTTTTGGCAAGTAGGCCTCTTGGATGTTGCTCTTTTCAGAATATCCTGACAAATCCCATAATTTCACAAATTAACACCTTACTCTTACCATATTTGATTTGTTGCTATTCCTCTGCATTTACAATTAATTAGTTCCACAACCACGACGCCGAAGTGTACGCTCCGTAGCGTCTTGTTTCTTTTTGATTTGAGTGAAGCGAGCCGCAAGGTGGACTGGGAAGAGGAAAAGGGCTTTCCCTCCCCAGACAATCGCTCGGCTCGCCTCGCTCGCCGACTTTTTCCCTCTTTTTCCCCCAATGCGGAGCCTGGTCCCAGGCTAATACATAAGTTGGAGGTCAGTTCGTTAGCCCATCACGGTGCATCTAAACATCTCATTTACATGATACAATGTCGCAAAGGTAAAAGCACCTCAAACACACCAGTGGGCAGTGGAATACATCTGACCGTCTAAACGAGCCTTAAGAGACAGATTTGATTTGGTACTAACACTAATGCAGCCCTCGTTCACATGGAATTAAGATATTTATCTCTAACAAGCGTAATATAATAGAACACCCATGTGGCCCTATCGCACACATGTGTTTGAGCAATGTAAACAAACTACCTCTACGTGGTATTGTTTATTGTTTATTGTTTTGTTTGCCATAAGTTATAAAAAACAAAAAAAATCTAATTATTTAAACTTTCATGGCGAGGAAGCCCAAGAGAAGCCACCGGGCTCATAAGGAATGGGCTCCCTCAGTTAGATAATTAGAACAAAATTTTATCATAATTACAAAATATTAATAAAAAATATTATCATAATTACATACTACCCTATGGCCCTTGCTCATTTGGTACTAGGTTGGTACTAGGATAAGAAGATGCTTTCGTGTTAATCAAAAGCTATATATATATGTACGATGTCAACAACCGGATCAATTGGCCCATGCGCAATTGTTCATTATTGACTTGGCAAACACTGACAATGTAAGATTCGGTGTATCCTACAACAACGCAGTGTAGAAAGGGTACGTAAAGGGTGGCCCCTGCACAGCCCTTTCACACCACATATGTATTAGGCGCACAGTTTAAAAACATTAACTCTTGAGTAACCTACAATAACCCTGACCTACAGTGTCGACAGGGTGGCCCCTGCACAGCCCTTCCATACTACGGCTACAATGGGCATATGGAAGACTTCTCCAGTGTTTTATGTGGACAAAGAAGGTATTCTGATATACGCAAGAAAGCATTAGAATTCCACCGACCAAAACTTCTTATCTGGGCATCGTACAAGCTCTTTGCTGCTGCCCATGAGGCTGCACCAATCCTGAAACTATGAGACTTCTACTTAGAAACATCAAAATTGCAACAAGTAACAACTGCACTGTGCAGTGAGTGCTGATGTAAAAAATGTGCAAGAGATAGGGGAAACATCGATAGATAGATAGATAGCTTGATAGATAGATAGCTTTATTAAAAATCCATTGCAGCCCAAGGGCTGGATTACGGACTGTACAATACGTTGAATACTAAGGCTAACTATTATAAATAAATATCAGTAAATAAATAAAACAAAGGAACAAAATACAACGTCATGAAATTTAAGAAAATAGCCGCGAATTTACAATAAAACCATTAGAAAATAGCCGCGTTATGCATGATAAAACTATTCATTAGTCTATTTGTTCTACAAAGAGGCACGTTAAAAACGCGCTTACTCCTTAAGGCTACAGTACTAAGATTACGTGGCGGCAAAAGGCCATGTAATTTGTGGAGGCTGTTGTCCTTAATCTCATTGAATAGGCGCTCTGTCAGCCATTGGCGCCGTTGGTGGAGGGTGGCAATATTGCACTCTTTTAGAGCCTCTTGATAGCCTAAATCAGGGAAAATAATTCTAAGTGCACGGCGCTGAATTTTCTCTAGCTCTTCAGAGAGATACTCAGGCAGACCATTGTGGAAAACTTGGCAGGCATATTCAGACATGGGCCGGATACACGTAGTATAGAAACAAAGTAGCTGCGCAGGATCTCCTTTTGCACGCTTAAGCTGCCTTAATAGGTATAGCCTAGAGGCTCCTTTTTTGATAACATTCTCTATGTGAGCGTTCCACTTTAGATTGTTTGAAATTGTGAGACCAAGAAGTTTTGCGCTAGTTACAACCTCAATTGGTTTGTTGTTAATAGTAACTGTTTCGAAAGGATCTACAGACCTTGAGAAACTTATCTGCAACTCTTTACACTTGGTCTCATTCAACTGGAACTTATCTATTTCGGCTTGCCTAACTAGGTCGTCTACAGCAAATTGGATTCCACTTGGTTGGCCCTTGTGGACTGTCTCGGCCATCGATGTGTCATCGACGTACTTCCAAAGGTTGACACCATTGACATTGATGTCATTTATCATTACCAGGAAGAGCCAGGGCCCCAATTTTGTCCCCTGCGGGACACCTGCCCTGACAGATCCCCAATCCGAGTAGCAATCGTGGGCGAGTTTCACTCGTTGCTTCCTGTCAGTAAGAAAATCTGCAATCCAGTCCAGCACCCAAGGTGGTAGCTCATAATCAGTAAGTTTAGCCATAAGAATGGCGTGGTCGATGAGATCGAATGCTTTCCTAAAGTCAAAGAGCACCACGCGCACAGTAGAACCGTTGCCGTCAGTATTCTTATACCAGTTGTGGAGCATGCTGATCAGGGCATGCACTGTGCTGGAGTTCGGAACAGTCCCATATTGGTTCTGGTCAATCTTCGCAAGGACGGCAGGCTTGATGTAGCCGTCAACGACAAACTCTTCCCCGACTTTGGAGAGAATTGGAGTCAACGAAATGGGTCTCAGGTGTTTGTTCACATCGCTAACAAGTGAAGTCTTCGGGAGGGGTGTAATGTCCGCTTTCTTCCACGAAGTTGGAAGGCGACGCTCCAAATAGGAAGAATTCAAGATGTCTGCCACTGGTGCAGCCAATAAGTCCGCGTTTTCTTTTAATACCCAAGAAGGGATTCCATCAGGTCCGGATGCTTTGTTCGTATTAAGCGCCGATAGTTTCTCAAAGACTGAAAACTCAGATATCGGACGGGGAAGATCTTGTTGGCATGTATACGCGCGCGCACGCGCGTGTGCATCAGGCGTGACTAGAGGGGTGAAAGCGGTCATTGGTGACAAAAAAGCGTCGTTAATAACATTGGCCAAATGTCTAGGGTCTTCCCCCTCATCCGCAAGGTGTTGAAGGTCTGCGATGGGGCTCGCGCGCTCGACCTTAGAAAAACCACTTAGCTGTTTGATTTCCTTCCACCATTGGGCAGGTTTACAAGCCTTAAGATCTTTGACTTTGGCATCATAATACTTTGCTCGACACGCCTTCCGATCTCTGTTCACTTTATTCCGGAGCTGTTTGTACTCAGCCAAATTGTTGTTGGCCAATGCCTTTTGCCGGCGGCGAATAAGGCGTTTAAGAGAGTTATTCATCCATGGCGCCTCGTTCACTGATATCGACTTTTCTTTCAAGGGCATGATTGCGTCCATTCCGGAGATGATAGCTTCTTCCATTAACTGTACTTTCTCATCACATGTATCTTTGTTCTTTACAAGGTCGGCGATGTTGACTTTTTCCAAGTATGAACTCAGGGCGACCCTGTAACTTTCCCGCTGGTCTCTTGAAATGATGGATCGTTTTAATGGTTGAGATTTACAGCGAGACAAGGGCTGAAGTTCAACAGATGCGTGATCTGACAGACCAAAAGCTGGGCCAGCAAAAAAGAGGGCCAGGGAAATTGCCTCGTGGATTCAAATATGCTAGCAACAATGAAACAGGAAAAACAGGGTGCTGTCTGTAAAGAGGTTTTGAAGTACCCCTGTGCTTGTAATGTCTCACTGTTTGATCCTTTCCTAGTTTCCATGAAAGTAATCTGATTAAAAAGGATTAAATTGCGACGGAACTGATTAGGGCGGTATGTCAATTCCCCAACCCGCAAAGCTGCAAAAAAGGCAAAGACATACATTGCTAGAGTCATCTTTCTGTGATATAAGGCTGACTGCGTGTGTCCACTACTGCGTGTGTTCACTGGCCAATATAATCTTCTCAAGTATTGGCAGCGAAATTGGTAAACGACCCCCTAAGTGCCGATTGTATCATGTCTGCCTTCGTTGGGTCTGATAGGTATGAGGGTATATCTATGACAAAATTCAATAACCTAAAAGTGGAAAGGGTTAAGTCAAATCTGAAATATACCGAGTCAAAGTTGGTAAAAAAAGACCACGGTAAAAGGAAGAAATACCAAAAAAGCCACTATCATACAGGTATCACGCAGAAAAAGGCAACACGCAAAGAGGCATCACGCAAAGAGCCAAACGCAAAAAGGCATCACGCAAAGAGGCAACACGCAAAAAGGCATCACGCAAAAAAGCAGTACGCAAACAGGCATAACGCAAAAAGGCATCGCAAAAAAGGCAATTTGCAAAAAGGGCATCACGAGAGAAGTTTACTTAGAGATCCAGGTCTGGATCTTAAACAGTATTATTTAGTACATAGTGCAAGCAAACTAAAATGGTATTCGAACGAGACATTCCATCTTGCTCACCTCGTGAGGTGCTTATTCGGTACCTTTGGCGTATATTACAACAAGTCCAAAACGGAATTGACAGCGACTGCATTTCTTTGCGGCTGGAGAACTTAATTGATTTACTTTTGAGATCGGCACATCTTTACCAAGATGGCGGACAGGTTCTAGCGGTTCTTCGTGCAGCGTTAACAGCAGTGGAAAATTGCCGTCAATCTGAGGATGATCCCACCATATGAGGGAACTTATCACGTGATGCCCTTTTTGAAAATTGCCCTTTTTGGCAAATTGCCTTTTTTGCGATGCCTTATTTTTGCGTGTTGTGTTTATGCCTCTATGTGTACTGCCTTTTTGCGTGTTCCCTCTTTGCGTGTTGGCTCTTTGCGTGATGCCTCTTTGCGTTATGCCTTTTTGCGTTATGCCTTTTTGCGTGTTGCCTCTTCGCGTGTTGCCTTTGAGCGTGATGCCTTTTACCGTGATGCCTTTTTCTGCGTGATACCTATATGATAGTGGCTTTTTTAGTATTTCTTCCTTTTACCGTGGTCTTTTTTTTACCAACTTTGACTCGGTATATTTCAGATTTGACTTAACCCTTTCCACTTTTAATCGTGTTCCAGCATCCCGCTGGCAGGGTATTCTATTTCGCATAAATTGTGAAATAATATCCGGTTAGAAATAAGAGTTGACAGGCCAAACACAACATCATAAGCTCGTGATAAGGCGAAACGTGACCTTGAGAGTCTGTTTGAACAGAGGTTTTTATTCTTTTCTCTCTCGCGCGAAGGTTACTAGTACCACTCAGTGCATGTAGCATTCTCAACTTTGACTGAGTAAATCTAGTTTTTGCCGCACTAAGTCTTACATTTAGAGGTCATGAAGCAGGTTTGTTACATGCATACTGAGTAGTCATTTCCTGTGGTTTATGCTTCTGTGGGTGTTCCTGATAGGATTTGATTTCAGATGTAGTTGTAAAGTGTTTGAATTTTCTTTGACCTCTGTTTGTTACGGCAAAATAAAGATTTTAGTTTCTTTGGTTGGCTTTCTCCGAAATGCCTGCCTGGTGCGAAGTCCACGTCGCTTTTGTAGTTTTCTCAGACACTGTGTGATGTTTCATGAACAGTAAATTGTAAAGAAATAATTTCCTCGAACACGTTAAATTTTCCGCGGCCTCGCACAAGATTTCTTCAAACGGTCTGCCCACAATGGCACATGTTTTGATTTGTTTTGGCTGGAAAACCCCGATTACTAGACTACGAGTAGCCCCCCATTTTTCCTCAGGGATAGTAGAGCGCTCGCTTTACTATCCCTGAGGAAAAATGGGGGACTACTCGTAGTCTACCGATTACATAAATCACCGCATACATTATCAGGCCAGATTCGATAACAAACAATCAGCGTTATGTCAAACAATGCGCACTGTGTGTCAGCCTATCACAGCATGTTCCCAAGATCTTGGGAACCCAGCGGGACGCTGGAACACGATTAGCGACGGCGTTACGCAGACGTCCCTTTTCCGCGTGCAACAAAGGAAATAGGAGACGTCTGCACGCAGGCAACAGATTTCCATTTCGCAAACTACAGATTTTCATTTCGTTTCGTTTCGTTTCGCTCCATTTCGTTTCGCAAACTACAGTAAACCCCGAAATCTGTGTTGGAGTTGTTTGCTACCTGTACCCCTCGATATGGCTTTGAATTTCACCTGCAAACGAGACAAGCTGTAAACCATAACATTAGCTCCAGGGATATGCCGTGCTCTGAAGAAATGTGGTTTTGTAAACACACCAGCACTAATTTGCGCAGCAGCCCCAATAAATTTGGATTTTTAGTCGTTTGTTGTTGATGACATGAACTAAGCTTTCATTATCTGTCATGAAAAGGAACCGTTTGTTTTATAATTCTAGCCTGCGAGCAAGCTCTCCTATTTGGTTGAGTGAAACGAGTCTCGCGAGAACGCGCGAGCGAGCGGCGAAGCCGCGAGGGGCAGAGAAAAGGAGAGCTTGCAACCATCCCTTACAAATTTTCATTTGTACTTCGCCCAGACGAAGGGAAATACCATTGGCTGAAAAATGACGTTCCGGAAATCAAAGTTGATTGATAACAGGCCAAGCTGGCACCC